GCCTCTTGTATCCCTGCTGGTTCTGTTGCATGCTGGTTCCTGCTTGCAGCCAGCCATGCACAGAAGGAGCGTGTGTGGATACAGCTGCGTACAGATTGGAAGAGCAGCTCAGCACCACTCTGGGCATTGCTGGGAACCAGAGCTGCATTGCCACTTTCCTTTCATTGCCTCCTGTTCTACAAGTGCAGAATAAAACCCAGTGCCAGCCCCTGCCCCTCCTTGTTCCTGTTTGTTTGGGGAGCAGCTCCCTGGAGGCTTCATGGGCACATGCATCATTAGGGGAAGGGAATTGTACTGAAACAGCTGTCCTATGAACGGAAGGGAAATTCATTTTAATAGGTTACAGCGTTAATTGATACAGGCATGCTGCAGCCTGCGCTAGGGGGTGATGTACAGCCGCCCAGTGACAGAAAGGAAAACTGGCCTTGTGCTTCAGACAGCAGGCTGAGATCTGGGTTCACGCCCTGGCTCTCTCTCAGACTCCTTGGGTGACCTTGGGAAAGCGTCACGTGGTGCCTCATACCCACCTGTAAATAATAGTCCTTCGGTTCTTCCATGCTTTCGCTGGTTACACTGCAGCTGTTTGGGGCAGGGATTGTCTCTGACTCCATGTCTGTGCAGAACCAGCTACAGATCTGAGCTGAGAGGGGTCTAGGTCTAATGGTCATATCAATACCTCTACCTCCTGGGTTTTTAAAACAATGAGACAATGTTGTTTTACTACCAGGCTTTTCTCTAACAGCCAGGAGGCTCTGGGGTGTATTTTATGGGGCTGTGATTATAGGTCTCTGGGAGAAGGAGGCACTTGGCACTCCACGATGCCCTAGAGGCCAGTATTAATGGCTCCTATAAACCAAACCCTTCTCCTAGCTGATTCTTTAATTAAGACACCAATGGGACGTGGAGCCAAGCAGGACAAAGACAATGGAACGAGCACACATGCTCAGCCCTGGCTTGGGGCTGCACGAGCGGGTGCCGGGGGCAGCAGACTCTGCCGTTCTACTCACAGGCCATACCAGCAAAGCAAGCCCTGTGGCTTCACTAGGAGACTGGAGTTCAGTGAACCCTGCCCTCCCAGGGGACTGTCCCCCAGCCGCTCCCTTGGGACGGCCCCTCTGAGTTAGGTGTCTGCAGGAAGAAGGGCCAGTGAGCGCATGTAGAGAGTGCAGGATCAGCTGCTAGACACCCAGAGAGGCCACCTCGCTAATGGGGTTTCCCTCAGCCCCAGTTTAACAGAGCTGAGCGGGAGACAGGCGTTTGCCACACTCCTGCCAGCCCCCAAAGATCCCAAGTAGCCACATGACACTTCTCTGAACAGGGGGTGGGAACAGGCTGGGCCGGGGGGTGGAGGGGTGTCTATGCTCTGCTGGTATGTGCATGAATCAGCCTCAGTGTATGGACTTTTGCAGGCACAGGCTGAGGTTCCTGTAGGCTAATGTCACATGTCAGGCCCAGGCTGAGCCAGCTGGAGGCCAGCATTGCATCTAGTCAGCCAGGCTGAATGGTTCCCTGTCTCCAGGTATGTCCACACAGCAGAGGGAAACCTGTAGCACCGAGTCTCAGAGCCCAGGCCCATTGACTGGGGCTTGGGCTGCAAGGTTAACCCTAGCCGCATGGCCGCTCCCACTCGGGTTGGAGCCTGGGCTCCGAAATCCGGCGAGGGGGGTGGGGCTCTGACCTGGGATCCAAGCCCCGCCCACCACGCTGGGGTTTTGAGCCCAGGCTCCAGCCCGAGTGGGACTGTCCACATTGCTATTTTTAGCCCTGCGGCCCAAGTCCCATGAGCCCAGAGACGTGGTTGGTGCAACAGACTTTTCTTTGCATTGTAGATGTGCACCGGCAGGTTCCGACATGGCCCCAGTCACTGCAGGGTCTGAGCACCTCGAGTATCTTAGCCCTTTTATCCCCAGGGTGCCCCTGTGCAGAGGTGCGTGACGCGGAATTCACTAGACCCTTGTCTATACAGACCCACACAGCAAACACTTCTGCAGGCTCCGGCTTCCAAACTGGGGACACGTCTGACTTTAACAACAACAGAAGAGAATTAAATAGCCCAGGTATTCCTAGTCCACTGAATTCGCCCTCCCCCTCCCCCCCGCTTTGTTTAGTAGCTCTTTCCAAATGCTGGGGTATATTTGTACAAGATGTTGGTCCAGCACCTACCACAAGAGGGTCCTTGGCACTATGGGAACACAAACAACACTGGCATTTAGCGGTCCATAACAATAGCACCTTGGGAAGCCATTGCTTTGGCGATACATAGTGAACAGGCTAAACGTTCATAGGCTATAAAAGAGAATTTCTAGGAGATTTAAAGAGTGTGCTGGAGCTGGAGATGCCAGGGGATGAACACATTGACTTGCTGGGTGCGCGTTCTGTTTAAAGGACAGTCTCTTTCATACATTAGGTGGCCAAGTGACAAGATGCTGCGTCTGAAAACAGCTTTTATAATCTTCTAAGCAACATCAAAATGGAAGACGGGCCAGCATGAACTTCACCAGCCCCAGCCCTTTGCCAACTCACAAACCCTGCTGTGTGGGCCCCTGAGAGGAAGAACAACTCTCAAAATGCAGCGGGTTGGAACAACTCCCTGACTCCTCGTCTGACATGAACCACCTGCTAGAGAGAATCATCACAATTAACAAACAGCTAGCTCACCTATAGCACTTGGAAGGGGTTAAACCTACCTCCAGGCTGTCAGGTCACTGGTCTCCAGGCAAGAGTCTATTTGTTAGAAACCCAGTAATCTGGGTTTTTGTTGTTTACAGAAATTGCCTAGATCATTTCAGTGTTATCTATGCAATAAGAGTCAGCTCTGATACACAGAAGTTAGATCTCAACAGGCCAGTGGCCTCATCCAGCTATCCAATTAGCATTCAGTGACATAACAGCTGATTTTCAGTAGATTCCTGCAAAACAACCACCTCCAACATGTTCTCCATAAGCAAAGGAAAGCAAGCCACACAGCTTTCTTTAAAATTATATATTTTATTTATTTGTTTCATACATGCAGCAAATAGAATAAAGATTATAGGTCCATCTAAAAGTAGGTATTTAGGAGAATCGTTTGACAAACACACAGCAGGTATTACATGGTGTAGAAAACTTGTCAAATACTTGCAGGTGAAATTAAATTCAAACAGAAACTGATTAACAAAGGCAGTTTTCAATTTTGTGGTTGGTTGTTTTAATTGCCACTTGGAACATGATCATAAAAAGAACCAACCTGGAATTCTGAGGACATTTCCATGCATGGAGCATGCTGCTTCGGGCTTCTCCCACCAATTACAAGCTCAAGGGCACGACGGCTACTGCAGAAGCAGAGAAGCTGCAGCATTTGTTTGTTTGAAGTAATTCTAGAAGCTTAAACAACATGAGCCCAGTATCTGTCCTACACTAAAAGTCATTATCACCTTGATCCCATTTGCACTGGAGTTCCTGGGCTCAACATGCTCATCAGGGAATATTTACTGCCCTTTGAGATCTCACCCCCGGCTATGAACCTGGTGACACACAAAGTTGCATTGGTTTAATTAAAGATGGAATTTAAATTCGATTTAGTTAAACCTGTGCAAGAGGCCATGTGGGTGCTCTTATTCCGGTTTAAGAGTGGCTTCTAATGAATTATCTTAAATGGATCAGGAACAAGTGGAATGTAAACCAAAATGTGCTACACTTACACCAGGGCCCTGGTGTAACTTTAAAAAAAAACAGTTTGGGTTAAATCGGTGGCACTTGTGTGGGCAGACAAGGCTGAGCTCTGAAGCAAAGGAAGTGGAAGGGGCTCAGCACCTCTGCTGATAAAGGCCCTCACACAGTGCTCAGTTCTCCTCTGCATGGTGCTGTACGTATACATTTACACCTGTGTGCAGTGGGCAAGTACTATTTCTGAGCTGGTAGTATTTACATCTAATTTGCACAGGTGTAAATGATGATGCAAAAGGCACGTGCAAGGGAGAATCATGCCCAGTGTGTCTGGCGATACAAATCACTTTGTAAAAATCCACACCTGGTTGCAATCTGTGGTGGAGCATGGACTTGAAGCCTGGTCTCCTAAGTGAGCACCGGGGTAACCCCTGCACCATTTTCCTATCAGAGGAGCTTTGCATATGGCAGGGAGCTGGGGGATCACATTCTGCCCCCAAGGCCGTATGTTAGCTGTGACTAAAGCAGCTGTGAGGCCATGTATGGGGGCAGGGGCGATCAGAGAGAGGAAATGAGAATCCGGATGTAAAACGCTCCTATACCTGACTCATGCCCTTGAGATCAACGAGGGTCCTTGTCATAAACCCGTATCTCGTGGGGAGAGAGACTGAGCCCAACAGAGGGAAAAGTTTGGTGGGATGGGAGGGTCTTAAACCTGCATTTTGGTTCAAGGTCCTTTTTTGTCTTTTTAAAACTGATTTTCCCTGTGCCTAAGCCAGGCACATTAGAACCAAACACTGGTTTGAACAGCAGAGGGGGAAGCAGCATGCTTGGGGCCAGTGCTAACCACACCTCACCTCAGCAGAATAGGCACAGCACGGGAAACCCCTGCAGCAAAACACACACACACACACACACTCACTCACTGGCAAGCCCACGGCGACACGCCTACCATCGGCCTCAGTCCAACATGCCACTGATCACAGCAGGGCTCCCGAGCCCAGGTTTGATTCTACACGTACACAAACCAAAGTGAATTAAAACCCGAACATCCCGACTTCTCCCCTCGAGTGAGAGGCTCCGAACCCTGGCTTCTTGAAACCCAACCCACTGCAGTGGCAATTTAAAGGAAACAGATATTAAAGAGCAGAGAGAGGCGGTTTTACTTCTCAGCTGGTTTTCTAAAAACAAACTAAATAGCACCAGGGCTGGTGAAATCTCTGCTCTGATGTAAATATGAATGTCGGGAAATGAATTTCTAACAAGCCTGAAAAAGCAAAGCAGCTTTACCTCCGCCTTTGCCAGTAGCCTATGAGCCCTGCCTCAACAGCTGCTGTACCTGAGTCCAATCTGTGCACGTTCTACTTCGCATACGACTGCCCCACAACCCCAGGGAGACACCAGCTTGTCCCCAGACACAATGCTGAATGTATGACCTGCTCAAGGCCCCATTGTTGGACAGTTCTGTGTAATGCCTCTTAGGGGCCTGATTTACACAGATGCTGACCAATGGGCCGTAGACCAACATAAGGCCCAAACAGAAAGCAGTGAAACCATCTGAGTTCCCTGGATGCCCATGTGCCTGGGATGTTCAGGTGTACATTTTCCATGCACAGGCAGAGGAGTGAGGGCTCACCTCCTTTACAGTAACCTTGGGGTTCAGAAAGACATCGACCTTTGAACACAGGAGCAGCTCACCCAACCGTAGGCTCAGCCTGGCTGCCAGCTTTAGACACATCTATCTTGTAGCACTTCCTGCTCCCCGTCCAGGAGCAGCGATTACACAGGAAACACAGCGCTCTCTCTAAAAAGGGCAGTGCACTCCACCCTGACACCACCAGGCCGCCTCCTGGAGAACCACAGGAGGTAAATTACCCGAGTGTAAATCAGGGAAGGCACCAATTAAGTCCCCAGTTACCCTGGTGTAAATCCAGTGTGAGACCAGAATCGGGCTCTCTGATCATCGGGGCGACTCTTAATTCAGCCCTGCCTCTGCTAGACTGTTCTATGTATGAAATCTAACCCTCTGTGGTCTACACTAGAAAGGCGGCAGCAGCCCAGGTGTGCTGCTGTAGCACTGTAGTGTAGACACTTACAGAGGTGGAAGGGGATCTTCCTTTGCCATAGTAAATTCCCCTGGAGAATGATTCCACTGTCCGAGTGACCTGTCAGCAGCTCCCTGCTCTCCAGTGTGGTGTTCTCCCTTTCTTAGTGTTAGGCTCATGGGCCTCCTCCCCTTTGCCCTTTTGAGCATTCCTGCCATCGTGTTTATAGACTTTTCTGTTTTCAAGCCTCCCTCCAGCCTGTACTCTCGTCCTCTGACAGAGAGCCATGCCAATGTGCATTACGGGGGGGATCATGTCTAGCTGTCGTTTTTACACAGTGTTATTCAGACCCCAGCACACACGAGTAGTGGCAGGGCTTGTCTGAAGCCTCTCAGTGGTTAAGATCCTCCGAAAGTGCCGGTTCTTTCTCAATCTTCCATAAAGCTTCAGTCAGCAAGCTACAGCAAAAGCAGAGAGTCAACCACGTCAAGGCTTGTCACTTTGTCCTTCCTTGGCAGCGTCTTTACAAATCTCAGTGTCAGCTGCTGGGCAGGTTTTTCCATTTCACACGTGTCCATAAAACAGTCTGAAAACAAACCTTGAAGAAATATTTGGGCTGTGACAGGACAAACAGTGGATGTACAAACTCAAAGGCCTGGTGCTGCAGACCCCGAAGAGGATGAGTAGCTTTATGCATTGACTTCACAGGATTCTGGATCAGGCCTTGCCTAAGGGGGTCGAGGACTGGGACCTCGGGTGTTGGTCTTGTAGACACTTGTACATGTGCTTAGCTTTACCCACGTGCGCCGTCCCAGACTACTCCCGTGAGCACAGTTAAGCCCATGTGTAACTTTTTGCAGGATGGGGGACTTAGGAAGTTCTTGTGGTAGAAGGAGACTGTGTTCTTTAGCATTTAAGCAAATCTCACTCCATGCAGAATTGTCACTCAAACACACAAAAACGTCTAAGACAAAAGTCCCTTCTCTAGGCTGCATGTAAAAAGTTGCGTAAGTTACCATGCTACTTTCCTTGCCTTAAGGTAAATCACGATATTCCATGATCAAATATGTTGGGGCAGGGTATTAAAATTTTAAAATACAAGAGAGACAAATTAAAAAACATTCACCATTTAAGTAATACTAACTTGGAGGCAATATATTTGACAGTTACAGTAACACACTTGCTTCAAAAGTCAGCTGTGATCTGCAGAAGAAACTAAAGCATTTTCTGCAATATATATGCTGGAGTTATGAGAACCGTCATCATAAATTCAAAGCAAATCTTCCCTGGTCGTGGCATGATGCAAAGTTCCCCATGTACCTCTTAACTGATCTGGCACAATTTGCAGTTTTAATTTTGTTTCCTCAAATACATATTATTACATGCTCAAGGAGACCAAGAATACACCATTCTCCAAAGTAGCAGCAGGTCTGGCCTCCATTAAATTCAGAAATATAATAGAGTAACCTAGGGTTATCTAGACACTTTTCATGGCCCATGGATGAGCAAAAAACATCTGTTCCTAGTGTTTAGCAGCTTTTTTCCCTTAAATCCTTTAAAAAAATATTCAAAAGGTAAAGTTTGAGGTTTATAAAAGACCAACAAACCACTTTTTTTTCCTGTAGGATTCAATACATCTCATAAGATTCCCACCTCTACTTTTTACTATATTCATGAATTAATGTGTATTTACATTAAAATTGGTAGTGTTTAAAAGCAAAAAAATTATTGGAAACCAACCCAGCTCACATACAGCGGGACAGGAATAATAATCAGTGTTTCCAAATGTACACACTTAATTCTTGTGTTTGTGCCTAAATAAGAGTAAGAATAGCTAGCCAGCTGAAGGACAAGCAGTTGACCTTGTCTCACTTTTCTCCTCCATATGGCACCTTGCTACATGCATGTTGAAACTGTATATTAAAAATATCAACTGGAATATTTTTGTAAAATTTAGAATTTCTAATATGATACATATGGTCGTAGGTTACTAAATAAAACCCCTGAAAACAGAACTAAGCAAACCAGGGCATGTGGAAAATTAATTACATTGCACATCTAGATAATAGCAAAGGGTGTATACTATAAAAAAGTTACCTTTAGAAATAGCCCTCAGTAGCGCCCTCTCCTAATGGGCATATTTTCAGTTGCTAAACTGTAAAATGAACTTGCAAATGTGTGTGTTTTGGTAGAATATTAATATCCTTTAAAGAGCTGTTAACTTTCAACAATGTCTGTGAAAAAAACAAGAGAAAGATTTAGAAGAGTGTTGTCAGAGTATATCAAAACTGCAAACTGTTCCAGATGTTTAAAACCCCCCACCTTTTCCTTAGAAAAACCAGGTGTTCTGATTTACTAGAACTGGGATGAAATTAATTTTGTAGTGTTATGCCTGAGTAATAGGAACAAAAATGATTGTTGTATTGAAATGCACACTTTTACAGTAGGCTCCAGAGGAAGGCCGCTTCATTGAGCCAGTTTAACAGTACATACAACGCATTGAAAACATAAATATGTCAACACGCAGACTTCTTCACACGCATCGGATCTAACTGTTTCCATTCTTGAACAAGAAGAAAAGGAGTACTTGTGGCACCTTAGAGACTAACCAATTTATTTGAGCATGAGCTTTCGTGTGAGCTGTGGCTCACGAAAGCTCATGCTCAAATAAATTGGTTAGTCTCTAAGGTGCCACAAGTACTCCTTTTCTTTTTGCGAATACAGACTAACACGGCTGTTCCTCTGAAACCTGATTCTTGAACAAGAGGCACTTCTAAGACAACTTCACAGTCACTGCAAGCTGCAGCACAACTGTTTAAAATATCAGCAGCCATGCTGGGCCTCCCAAGGGAACCATTTTTGAATAATTTAAAGTTTACCAGAATCTCCAGGTCTGATTTTAAAAATTACAAAGACTGTAGCAATTTTGTATTTAGAGACCATATTCAGACCTGTTTAAAAAGTCTGTTGGTTACCATTATTGGTAGTGTTTAGAAGTATTACCTCTTGCTGTTACCTCACAAACTAAATATTTCCAGATGTAGGAACCACGCTAGGAAGTGACACATACATATAAGGGCCTCCTAAAACAAGGTATCGCCACATTTCAAATGAGGGCATGTATACATGTATGCACCGTTCATCCCGGAAGACAAGTGTTGATATTTTACAAGGTGATCTGAAGGTTTGGATTGCGAGCACAGAAGGTGGCATTTGCATCTTGTCTAAACATTAATGACAAATTCTGGATTAGTATAGGAGAATCCAGCAAACTCAGTCTGATCCAAGTTCATGATGAAGAGTTTGTCAGTAGGCGTGAGTTCCACAGGCTGCCTGGTGAACTCTTTGTCGAAGTTGGAAGTGTCTCGTTTGTCTTTCTGTCAAATGGAAAGCACAAAATTAAACACAATCAAAAGGGAGAGAAATATACAAGAGAAATCCCAGCAAGGTGGATGTCTGTAATACCGTATGCGTGTTCAGAGCGATCGATGCTGATCGATGCTGCCCATTCTTTAGGATTTGTACATGGTATGTATACATATATTCTGAAATTGTTTGTTTTTTTAAGAAAATTACACGTTAGATTAGGTACACTACATGCAAATACTCAGCAGTAGCGTTTATCCACATAAATGCAATTGGGTACAGTGTGCAAAAACAGGAAAGCATTTATCTAACACTTTAAAATACCCAACAAAAGTTGTACAGTGACATGATGACAGCACAGTATGGTACAGAAGGGACATGGCATTCACAAATAGAAAATTCGCCCCACACCCACCAATCCGGCAGCTTTAAAAAAGAAAATTAACGGAACAGTTTCTCAACATGCAAAACTTTCACTGGAAACACGGATTTCTTATCTACAATAAGAGAGTCCTGGAGAAAGCAACAAGCCACAATATTGGAAGTAAACAATTTACTAGGATTTCAGCGTACACACAAAACTAATCAGCCATAAAAATTTGGTGGTAGCAGATGATTTCCCCCCCGGTTTTCTGTTAGTAGTCTGACATTTTTAGTTGGGCTGCTGTAATATCTTGATTTCCACTTGCATTTATCTATTTAGTTTGAGAGGAGTGTGTGATTTTCTCCAGGGTCACATATAAAATATACAGTGGGTCCAAAAACCTGGTGTAAAAATAAAATTACATAGATGCAACCTTTTCTAAATCCAGATCATCACAAAAATATAGACCGTACAGTTAGACCAAAGCAAAAAGAATGATGGTCTCAGTTAGGCTGACAGTCTATTAGCATGTAAGACCCAATTGGTTAAACAGAAAGATCTTTGAATACTCATTTATGTAATGGATCTTGCCTGTGTAAACGAAGATACATGCTGGCTGCACTACATTAGAAAGGCCTGGCTGATGTATGAACCCAGTAGCAGTGAAGACACAATATAAGCACCAGGAATACCTCATCAGTAAAGAAATATCCAGAGGGGAACTTGTATTATTACTGAAGACAGCAGACGTTGCAGTGTGTAAATAACAGTATAGTTCCAATGCGGAGGAAACCTATGAGAATTCTATGTGAGGACTGAAACAGGACACAGACAGGCGACCTACCACAGCTCTTCCATGCGTTAGAGTAATAATATTTAAGTCTTACGTAGCACTTTTCATCAGTATAAAAATGTGTGATTAAGGGAATGGGGGCATGTAATCATGCACAGAGCTCACCCGGGTGTTTGTAACTTGCTCATCACACGGTGTCTGAGCACCATTCAAAGAGGATCAGTAAGTGCTAGATCCTACCAGAAAGTTCCAACTTTAGATCAGGGCCATGATTTCCAGCTCTCCCAAGCCATCACATCAGTTTACACGGGGAAGTGCGTTACACCCAGTGTGCACTACTTCCCCTTAAGAAAGACACTGGGCAACTGCAAATCTCAGCCCGGGGTGGTTGTAAGCACCCATTGGGGCAGGAGCCTGCACAACAGACGGGGAGCCCAGCATAGACCCATGGCGGTGAAGAGTTGGGTGGGGGGCTGGGATACAAGCTAGGTCTGAAGTGGCAGGAGCCCTGGCAATGCATATTGGGGATTGGGAGCCACGGCTGGAGAGAGACACACCCTTCCTTTCCCCCAAATTCAGTGGGCTCCCTTCACTGCTATGTGAGGCTGTGGGAGTTAGTTTTGCAGCCCCCAGAGGGCTCTGGGTGGAAGCAGGGGTCATTGCAGGTAACTGTGCGTCTCGTGGAGCCTGTCGGTCACTTCGTATTTTTGAAAGCCAAGAACTGGCCCTCCAAGGTCCCGTTTTAGATGGGGTCTCCCTGTTTGAATAGATGTCTGCGGTGCAGGGCAAGCTTGCCCACGCGCTCCGTTCTAGCACACCACCCACCGTTTTTTTTGCAGCTCTGGTTTATTATCCTGTCAGCTAGTGCCAAAGGGGTAGCCAGTGCTCCTTAGGGGCTGCAATTCCACGGGCAGGGAAGCAGAACCTCCTTCACACATTGGAGAAGCCGTGTCACTTTGTGATCGAGTACCTCATGCCTGGCCTGAATGCAAACGCACTGACCTGGCTGTGTGCAGAGAGCTGCTGTAACACTTACCCTGACAACTCCGCTCTCAGCCAGGCATGGCCATTCACCTTCAGATTGTCTTTACTGATGAAGTAGCAGGAAGGCTTTATATTGCAGCTTGGCAAGACTCTTCAGTTCTGCTGGGCTCAGAGGCGATGAAGTCTAAAGGAGGACCCCGGCCAGCATGTGAACCATACAGCAGCCCGCCCCCGCAATCCCTTCTCAGAGAGCAGCGGCCCCGACGCACGGTTTGCTGCGTTTCCAGAGGAAGCCTTTTGCTGCTGCTTAGGACAGGAGCGCCACATCACAATCACACTCACCAGCCACTCGCAAGTGTCAGCCCAGAGCACTCTCTCCAGTCAGAGTGGGTGAGGGCCAGGGTTTTGTGGAAAACGCCTGCCCCTCAGTCGGCCCTGTGCTTGAACTCAGCCGGCTCTTTTACTTCAGGTCGTCAAGGACACATCCAGATAGCCCCTTATTGGGAAGGTACCGTTTTCTCCTAGGATATTAATCGCCGACAATGCCGGCGACCGTGATGTGGCTGGTTCTGCTGGTCACCTCAGCCTGCGGACTAGGTCACCAAGGGCGCAGCAGACGGATCATAGAATCATAGAATATCAGGGTTGGAAGGGACCTCAGGAGGTCATCTAGTCCAACCCCCTGCTCAAAAACAGGACCGATCCCCAATTAAATCAAACGGCCAGAAGAGAGCAGCCTGTCCAAGGGGCATTCCCTCCAACAGACCAGGCTCTGTACAAGACACTGCTCCCTGGAGCTGGGTTGCCCCAGGGAGGCCTAGACCATTTCAAGAGGGGACAGCAGCCTCCGCACCCACAAAGGCGTGGGGGAGAAGGAGATGAGGTTAAAACCCCCAAAGAGGAGGGAAGGGAGGCAAGGGGTGAATGTGGCATGGAGTAAGAGAGGCCAGTGGGGCTTGCGGGGGGAGGCTGGAGAGAGAAGCTGAGATGGGAGGCAAGAGATCAGGGCTCGAAGGGAGAAGACAGTGACCGCGTGCTCTGTCACCGCTCAAAGCAAGCGGATGCCCCCATCCCTCCCCCACCCTTGATGTGACCAGACTTACCTACCCGTGTCTGCCCCCCACCCCCACGTCTGGCTCTCTCTCTTTTGCCTTTGGTCAGCTGGCTGCTGAGAGAAGCGGGGGGACTGGGGGTAATTGCTTCCCCCCTCACCTCATCCCCACCCCTTCCCAGGAAAGGCGACGGCGGACGGGGGTGCAGGGCAGGGCACGGATAACAGGGTTGGGGGGGAGACTGAGCAGGAGGGGCCGGTTTGAGATGCAGGGATTCTGTCTGACAAAGAGGAAGCAGCATATTTCAGGCAGATGTGAAAGCACGTGGGAGCCAAGCGGGGTGTTACCCTCCCCACCCCGAGGCAGGGCAGGAAGGACCCTGTTCCTCTTGTGCTGATGAGCCAGGCTCCACATTCGCTGGACGAGCAAGGGGAGGGGGCAGATCCTGCACTCCTTGCCTGTGAAACTGGGAAGGTGAAAGGGTCCGATGGCGGTAACTGCTAGGGATGCCAACCCTCCAAGATTGTCTTGGAGTCTCCAGGAATTAAAGATTAATCCATGAATACTTCTAACCAAAATTAGCAACTCTAGTAACTGCCCAGACTGGCACAGCTCTGCTGTCTTAGATCTCCACATGCAGAGGGAAGGGCTGGGAGCAGTGAGTTTACTGACAGGTTCCAAAAGGCCACATGGAAACGGACGCACAGGGGCCCCCCCAGGATATCATTCTATCAGATAAGGGACGGTGCTTGCTAAAAGCACAGTATGGAGGGATATCTGTAAAGTGAAACAACAGCGTGTGTAGGAGAAAGGCACAGCGACACCCACACGTGCCCATTCAAGGGAGTAAGGAACGTTGGTTGCTTGATAGAGAACTGGTGATAAAGCTGGAGGATGACTGTCTCCACCCCGTTAGAGCAGTCTCTTAAGGGGCGCTCTCCTGTACCGATCTCACTATCTCGGATATTTTACAGCAGCTTCCCCTTCACCCCTTGCACTTTTCCACCGGCTTGGGGGAGAAATCCATACAGAGAATCCCCAGCTGGTGAGAGCCACAAAGCGGTTTCTGCTTCAGTGATGAGCGAAACTATTATAACTTTTCTTCTCACTGTGAATTTCTCTGTAAAGATGTGTGTGCATGCACACATGCTAGTTAGGCCTCTGCTGAGGAAGGAAGTTACCTGTTTGTGGAGGGAGCAGGGAAGGGGATACAGGGGGGAGGTCCTGGAATGAATTAAGGAAAGGGAAATTGAGGCTGTCTCGGAAAAGCTTTCTGACAGTGGGATACAGAAGGCTGTGGAATCACCTGGCTGAGGGAGGGCAGGGAGCCCCATTGCTTGGGATGCGTAAAACTTGGCTAGCTAGAGCAAGGGGGACCGAATCCTGCCTCGACCTCTGGGAGATATGCTGGGTGGCAGGTTTTTTGCATTTCTGATTGTGTGTAGGAGACGCTGTACGTCTCAAGGGTGAAGAGGGAGCGGTCAGCTGCAAATCTGTCCAGCTTCACTTTGAATTCTGGTGAAGGAGGGGCCTATTTAGCCTCCCGTGTGTATTCAAATGTGAATTTCTAATGCCCAGGCTGTTTCTGTACTCCACGGCTGCTGCTGGGACCGTGCACTCCACATGCAGAGTCTTGCACAGAGGCCTGTTTATACGTGGGCAACTTCCTCCTAAAAGAAAATCACTCCCCTCGCTGCGTCTCCCTTAACATTAGAGGGGCAGTTACAATTTCTTCAGCAGTCATTTCCAGGGCCTGTCCGTGCCCCTTTCTTATAGTCTGGAAGAGTTCCACACTGAGCAGCATCCCCTGTGATGTGG